AATGAAGCTTTATTAAAATTTATTTAATCACATTTAAAAAACTTTTTTGAAAGAGTGTAATGCTTATATTTTTATATAGGGCTCTATTGATACTCAATCATCCGTCTTGAATTCTTTGATTAAGGTCAGTGACACATAGGAAAATGTAAGCAGTAATATAAGCAATAAGCAAGTCAGCATTTTTTATTTGCTACTATTTACGTTATAGTCTTATATTCTCAACTGTGATTGGTTGATTATTGCTTACGTCTTACTCTGCTTGTTTTTGTATGTGCCATGGCCTTAACTCTTTGATTCTAGACGAATGAGCTGTTAATAGATTGGAGAACGCAGGTGACCGGTAGAATCGATCGTCGCGTCGGTAATAAAGCGCACCAAGTAGTTCCCGTAAGTCACTAAAGGTTACCGGCAGGGTTATATAGTTTTCCGATCGTAATTCTATTTTCACGATGTGTTATACCAATACATGCATGTATGTTAAATATTGTATAATACTATAGGATCTTTAAAAAACGAATAAAAGCCAAATTATTCTAGTTATAACAATTTAATAGGATAAAGTTTTGATAAAGCTCCATATTTTTAAAATCTTCCTCAAATAATGAAGATTAATTGACTTCTACTTTCGAAGAATATTCGATTTATAATTCTGATGATTACTGAATCATAACTCGTACATCATTTATTAGTCTATCTGAAAAGAGATTCGAACGTCTTATATAATGAGTATCTTTTTTTATCGATTTTCTCGTGAAAATGGCGCGATCGCCGCGGGGCAACGAAATCTTCATTCCATTCACGGCACAATTTCCTCTCTCCCGCTTCAATCCATCGTGGAATTCTGTCGATGTCGCGCATGCGCTTCGGTATCGTGTAACCGGACGGCGGCATGGCGACGGGTAGGGAAACGAGTTTGAACAGTGGGGAGGGCCGTCGTCGTCGTCGCCGCCACCGCCGTCGCCACCGCCATGACGGCTCAATTTATTTTCAAGCTTAGTCGAGACTCGAACCAACGAGTTGGTCGTTACCGTTAGCGGAATGGACCCTGGACTAACCATCCTATACTCTCTACGACCTATTTCAATAACCGCCATACAGATGCCGCTGCGATAATCATTGGATCTCAATGATCTTGAAATGATTCTGCACACACAGAATGCTTATTATATCAAGGAGATTTGTAATCCGAACAAGCAATGACAAATGATATGTTACAAACATGTTGTACATTGTGTCTCAGTGACGACAGAGGACTTTTCTCTAAAAAGGAAGGAAGAAGAAAGAAGATGATTATCATGCATTCATCATTCATAATGAATGGAATATAGAATTAAACATAAGAAATTAGAAATACGAGAAATATACGGGAAAGCGTTAAGCTTCAGCTCTGAATTTCTCAATCCTTTTTTGGGAACAAATGTTGAAGAAGATAATTATGATGAAGCATTTTATTATATTGTTTGGTCTATACCAGTGAAGAATTCCTTATTGATTAATTAACTGCGAAAAATTAAGAAAACAAATATTTAATCATTAATTTTTCTGCATTATTTTCATTATAAACAATATTACCACATAAAATGTAATAGTAATGGATACAAATAGAAATTAATTTGTTTAGATATTATTACCTGAAAAATAATTAATGCTCTTAGAAGGATGAACACGCTCCGATTTTATTCCGTGTTAGATGTCCAAGGAATAAACTCTTGGCAAATAATATTTTTCTTTAATTATATATACATTAATAGAATTATTATACAATACTATTTTAGGAGGTCGTACAGCTCTAAGCTTGCAGACCAAAAGCGACCACCTGTTGGGTACGAAACATTAACCCATTTAGCACCTTCTCTCATAAAGGTAGATAACTACCGCTGTTGAAACATCCGTCATTATCCATTTGCAGCAGCTATTTGACATTTTAGATCATTAATTTTAAATGTTTGATGTTACACGTTTGTGATTCCCATTTCGACTTTATTAAAAAGGAAAAAGGGATTGTAAAAAAAATATTTAAATTTATGAAGAAATGCTTTAATTTTTTTTTCCTTTTAAAGTTATAAAATTCGTATTTATATACATATTAATATTTTGTACACATATTGTAAATATTATACAATATGTTAAATATACACATATTAAACAAAGAAGAAAATATTTCAAATATTTTGTTATTTATGGACAATTTATGCGCATATATTTAACGTTTCCTTATAACTGGTAATTTGAGGCTTATTTATTCTTTCTCTTCACAAATATCAATAATATTTTTCCTTTATTGAAAATACGAACGGAGAATCTCGTTTGTAGGGTCCAAGCTGGATATCCAGCTTTACTATTACATCTAGACCATCTGTGTATAACCACATAATATATCATCTTTAACGTCTTAAAGGGAAAAACTGCGAATGAAGCTTTGAGGCAGCGCGTATCTAAGATATCAGCCAGTACTGCGGCAATAGGATACCTAAGCCGCATACACGTCCGGATACCACAAGTTATTTGTTTGGCATCAGCCTCGCGGATTTTATTCTTTCAGCCAAGACATTACTCTAAATCATGTTTGCACCCGTATCCCCTCCGCCATGTCGAATCATGATAGTGCATTGAAGCCGCGGGGGAAGGGCTCGGAACAGCGTCGAGGTAAAACAAACTATAGAAAGAGTTCGTAGAGGAGGAGGGAGCATACCGTAGCCAACAGAGGAAAAGAGGAGACGACGGAGGGAGACTCTGTCTGGTATAAGATGTAGCCTTTTCATTCTCGTAAAGAGCCGCAACGAAAAAGAAAGAAGACGATAGAAGGGGGAACGAGGAAGGAATATCGAGGAAGGAGATCCGTGAAATGATGTCTCCCTCCGCGTCTCAACTCCATCTGCTGCCATCCGTATGAAACGAGTCACCAAGAGTCTACCACCACCCGTCCACGAGGACGACAGGGAGAGAAGACGACTTAGTAGCTAAAATGTATTTCACGGATGACATCGACGGTAGCATCGAACTCGATTGGTGCCTTCGGTGGAAGAGGGAGATATTAGGATGGAACGATGGAATAACCGTAGAACGGGTTGGTCCGTACGGAGGGGGAAAGAGGACTCATTTGCTTCATTTTGAATCGAGATCTCCTGTCCGTATGCATTCATTAATTTTTTATCTAACAATAAGACCATTTTATCATCCGTATAATGTTCTTTCGTCCAGTCTTTCTTTCTTTTCGTTTCTATTCTCTTTAATCCGACAGGTACATGTGAATAGATCAATTTGATAGATAATATAATTTATTTGGGAGATAGTTCAGTGATAGTCAAGGGATGAAGCGAAAGAATTCCCTGAGCCATCCCCTCGTTATTATAGAAAATCTAGATTCTGTCAGAGTTTTGATATATTTTATTGTTGATATATGATGTAAATTTATCTAGATGACAGATTTCTGATTTTAAAAGTTTTTTTGTTCCAATTGGAATTTTGTTCTGTTATGCAAACGGACTGAGTTGCCTTTATGAGAGTGTAAATTATTAGAAGATTGCGTATAGAAGTGGTGAGTTAGCACCTAGAAGCGAATTAGAAAGTAAATAGAATTATATCGAAAATATTTATCAATTGTGATAAACTTATATTTACATTCCGTTTGATATATACAGCCATTTTTAAAGAGGTACTCTTTAATAATATTTGCTGAGTAATAAATTTCGTAGAAAAAAATGAAAAGAATAATGAATAGAATAATAGGTATGTTATAAAAGTTAATAGGAACGTTAAATATCTATGATGATATATTGTATTACAAATGAGATATTTTTAAAATTATAATTTAATATTAGATTTTTATATATTTATATGAGACTAAGAATATATTTTTTATATTTTTATTGCTTGGATTTATAAAATATGATAGAATATGTCTTAGAAATTGTTAAATTAGAATATTCGTTAAAAATAAATGAAGAATTTTATAATAAATAACGTTGCAATGAAGAGGATGCTTGACTAGACAGTGATTTAGATAAATTTACGTTTTGTACATTGATCATTCTTAATAACGTTTAAAATCAAGCTTTAACATTAAAAAGGTAATCAATATCGCGAAATTGGAATTTAAGGAAACTAGCCACCGGAAGAAATCCATTCTTAGCAATTTGCAAGGCATTACTTTTACGACACATGGACAAAACGTTCTTTCCGTGATAAGTGTTCGACGGACGGACCGTCCGACGTTAAGCTAGGTGAGAGACAAGAGAAGGGGTAGGTTTGCGGTTGGGTGGTTTGTTGGTGGAGTTATATACTGCCTCGTAAAACACGATCATTGCTTTATTACGTGCTCCCTGACGTATACCAGCTAATTGTTAGGTGCGAACACATTTATAGGCAAGTCATTCGCCTATTCTTTTAGTCTCCTCTTTTATTGCCGTGGAAGGAAAACGCTGACTATAATCCCACTTTGATAATGATACAGCTTGTTTGTACTAGCTTCTTCATTTTGTTTTTTTTAATAATGTCTTCTGTTTATACTTGCATATACATAAGACTATTTATTTTTATTATACATATATCTGGAAAATTTTGCCTCAAAGTTTTTTTAAATATTTTTTAACTAAATCGGTAGACATTTTTAATTAATCTAAAAATAAAGTGAATTACTCAAATTTATGTATTACGGGATTTTTGTGAAATTAAATTTTCTGAATTTATTTGTATGAAAGAATATTGTTTTAAATTTCAAATAAAAAAGATAATATATGTCTGATTTTTCGTGTTAGTCATGTTTATATACAAACATAAAAGTGTCGAACGAGAAATGCTAATGGCACACGCGTCTCTGTATGCTTCTTAAATACTACGCGTATAGATTTTATTTTTCCCAGTTGCTTCCGCGTAGGAGCATTATACATATACATATATGCATATAAATGTACGAATTACAACCATCTTTAATAAACGAGTAAACAATATAAATTTATAATACAGCAATAATAAATATTAAATAATTATTTCTTTTAACATATTGATTCTTTAATATTACATATTAATATGTATAGCAAAAAAATTGTAAAATACATAACAATTATTGCTTAATTAGACATCTTTGTGAAACATTTTTTAATACAATTACCGCAAATATTTATTTGCATAAAATGTAAATTATACTGTCAACTAATATGATATAAATACCAATAAGATAAGTTTTATCCCCGCGTAATAAAATTAATTTTATCCGTCAACTTTGCGTCGGTAATCCGACAGATAATGTCATTTCAAGAAATATCATTTCTTGTAAATAACATTAGTTACACGGTTTGCTAATTAACGTGATTAACATTTATATTTATAGTCATTAGCCTATCTCTCTCCATATTTTACTTTTATTCTCTTTATATCTATCTTTGAATAAAATGAAATTATCTACGATGAAATTATCTTCCATATATGCGAGAAGTGTGAAGACTTTCTATTCTTCTTTTTTATCCAATTACTTTTCCTATTGTCGTTGGTGGAGTGTCGTTCACGAAACACGCATAAAGGAACTACTGAACTCTGTTGATTTGTTGGTTGAAGCATCATCAGCATAGAGCAACAAAACTGCATGAAAGCATGCGATCCAAGCGATCCAAGTAGTTGATAGCGTGGCCAGAAATCTATATAAAAAATCAACATAAAAGTAGAAGCAAATAATACATGTACAACGATAATGTTTGGCAGATAAAATAGCACCAAGTATGAATTGATAAGACGCGACTCAATAATTATTAAACATATTGCGTAAGGTTTTCTTTTTCTTTTAATCGGGATTAAAAAATGTACATGTCCTATAGGTATTTCTAAAGATTTATAATAAATATCTTAAATATATTCATACAAATATATCATCAGACGTATCATTCATTGTGAATTGTTTCCATTTTAACGAAATATTTAAACGGAAGTGTACATTAAATCGGACATTGATTAAAAATGCCATAAATTTTGTAAGATAAAATACATATACAATGTGATTATAATACGTGAACCGCGATATAGCGAGCGTCGTGATTTATGGCCGAAAGAATTGCGATACGGCAGAACTACACGATAACACGCGAAGTAATATGATGCATACGAGAACGGGCTGGAAGATATATACATTATTAACTTCTTTCTTGGCTAAATAATGTGACGTTTTTTCAAATCATATAAATGGAATTCCAAACAGCGTTTACAAAGAAAATGACGGCAAAAAGAGAGAAGAGACAAGCAACGGTATATCCGAACGAAGACCAAAAATATTTCCAGAATCCCCTGAAGAGCTTGTACTTTATTAGCTTTACGCTCGCATACTTTCAAATCTTGTCAGGGCACATTTGTTTCATTGCTATGCTTCGAACGACTCGGATCTTCGTGGCCCTTCGAGATGAGGCGAGCGTATTCAAGAATTGTACTGATTGCGGTCTTCGCCTCTCATGGAAGTTTCTTCAATTAAATTTAATTAAGCTTAAAAGTGGAGGTCTTGATCGCATTTAACAGGCTTAATTAACCGCGCGCCGACGAGATATTTGTGGAAGGATGTTGTTGAAGATTGAAGTTTGGTTAAGTTTTTGTGACGCACGCTCGCGCGCGATTATCAATGTCGGCTCTTCTGATCTTCAGACATTCAACAATTGCAAAGATATTGGAGAATATCTTGTAGCAAAGATGATATCAGTTTATATTATACATCTTTTAAAAGGGGCGGGGGGGGGAGAGAGAAAATATTCTTTAAATTATATGTATATTGCGTTACATAAACACATAAACCTTATTAATTTTTAAATGTGCAAGGTCTTGCATTATTATTGAATGCAATTGTGACATATTCTTTAATAAATTTAAAATTGATTTCTATTATTTATTAACAATTTTCAAGTAAATTTGGATTGCAGAAATATTCAATATTAAAATTTGAGACTATCGGATCTCTAGTATTACTTAACAAGATACGCGTAATATGTTCAAATGTTCAAATTGAAAGATATCACATGAATATCTGATGAAATTTTATTAAATATTGGATTAATCAAAATGTGTTGAAAACTAATGCATCCCCGATACTGACTATGGGCAGGGAACGAGTCACACGCTGGGTGGCTTAAATATTTCACCATATTCACGTTGTTCTTCCCAACATCTTGGGTATTTTGTGTATTAAATTCGCGCGAGGTTTATTCTATCGTAGTATTAGCGTTTCCGCACAGCAAAGAGATGGCGGAGGTCCGCGTGGGCGTCCGGGTATCGATACTTGCGCGTCATATTTTCCGGCTGATACTGCCCACGCCTGGCTCTCTCGTGCGCTCACTTCATCGAGCGTATCGGGCGTATCAGCCTGCACTGACGACGATGACGACGACGATACGTATATACATGCACCGCAGCACGTACGAATTTTCGTATTTGGCTGAGATCACGTTTGGATAAAATGGCAGCACGGATCCCCTGCTGACGCCGATATATCCGCCCTCTGCGCGGCGCATGCACCAATACATATATCTTCTACGAAGCAGCTTGGGCACACGGACGGATACACCCCGCCGTACATACGAATACCTGTGGGTATACCTGTCCACGCTTTTCTTCATCACCACACCGTCACGTATGCGGCAGAGATAGCCCGAAGTGTAGCCGGGATCGAAGTACGAAATAAAAACTTGAGCGGGACCGGCGTCTAAATCAGACTCGCCGTGGAGAATTTCTCGATTGCGATTTCTCATGTGGGAATGAAAATTTAACGCATCGAGTTGCACCGATCTGTGTGGAACTTGCGCATGCTATTGCCATTTCATAATATAATTTTCAGCATTCAAAATATCTCCACATTAATATAGCAATAGTTTTAATAGACGTTATGCGGTGTAGGTACTTTTTATCAAACAATAATAGGATTTTTCCAAGTAGAAACAATAAACACTGATCGACAAGATCACTTTAAATGAAGGAATCATAGAATTCTATTGCGCGTATTTCTATCTTTATTATTTTTATGCAAATGTTAATCATTGATATAGTCGATGCTTTAATCAAATAAAAAATGAATCAATTTGTCCGAACTACAAATAATTTTATATGAAAAAATAAGTTAAGATAACAAAATATAACATTAATAGAAAGTTGATAAATCATCATTTTGATAGTATCGGACGGACGAACGGACGATAGACATATTTTTGACAAAAACTGTAAAAGTTGTTAAATAAGTATTTTTTTTTAGATCTGATGACAGTTGTACATAATGCTCCTCTTACGAGATGCCTCAAAGGGGTATTTCAGAAGTTGAAGGTTAAAATAGTAAGTTTGAATGCTTATACTTTCAGAAAAAAAGCAGTATTTTCGCACAGCCTGTATTTGTGCGAAATTGGCCCGTAAACAAGCTGACTCGTGAAACTCGTGATGTAGATGTGGCAAACGTGGCCAAGAGTAATATTTTCCTTCCGTCGTTCGGCTAAAGAAAAACTTTGACTTATTCTCTAGACGAAGCTAGATGTTCAAATAAAATGAAAATATGATATTAAATATTTAACTATGTTTTAATAAAACAAGTTAAACATAGATACAAGTATCTAATTATTGATATTTTGTGGATTACCAATTTAAAGATATTTTATTGATTTCACGCAAGTGAGATAATTATTGCTTAACTTTGAAATTTGAAAGATGATATTTGATAAACTGAAATTTGATAAAGTTATGAATGTCTGCATCATTCTACTAGTTTTTTCTCCTTGATGTTTCTATGTTTGTTTTTATATTTCTTATGTATGTTGTGTTACATGAGTTATAAAAAATAATAGATTGAACAAAATTATATCACGTATAGATTTTCCACAAGTAAGCGAAAAACAAAAAGAATAGTAATTTAAATCTTTTGCTAAAGATTTTGTCTATGTTTATTATTGATGTGAATCCAAACGAGAGATTCAACTAAATTCTAGAAAATACAAAATTAATGAAAATCATTGATTGAATAGTATGACAAATAAAAAGAGCAAGATAAAAATTGCTGGGAAAACATCGAAATTAACTAATAGCGAATCTCATGTTTCTATTATAGCGGATGAAGTAATCGTTACTATCTCGAACACAAAGAAATAATAGATAAGATTACTGTCACCTGAGTATTTCATATTACATAAGTCCATCTACGTTATATATGTCACATGGCGTAACGTATACCGAACACGCGTTGTATACACCCGTACTCTGAAATGTCCGTGTGCCGCTGGAGCAATATGGACGAAAATATCTACGAAAGGCGAAGGTATGTTTCTCCATTTTCCCTCTACCTTTCTCTCCGTTCCATTTCGCTCGCTGCTATATTCCTCCGTCTTGCTCGGCTCGGCCACTCAGCCGGGTATTCGAAGAGACAGGTATTGCTTCCTATTTCCCAGAGGGACATTGAGTCAACTCCAGATCGGAGAACAGAGATCACAGAGCGTGGTAGAAGCAAATGTACGTCGGCCATTTTCGGGGTTGGTTCGGGGTGGTTGCCGACGGGGACGCGGATAGAAGGGATAAGGAGGGGGGGAGGGAGAGGGAGAAGGAAGATGGGGTGGGGTGTGGCTCCGACGTATCCCAATTTCTACAAAGTACGAGATATGAAAGGTTCCCTCAGCAAATATCACTGTCGCTCGAGCGTGTTTCCTTTACGTCGCAGAAACGGAACTGTCCAGGATGTTAATTAAATTTCTTACTGCTCCATAAAGTTCCGCTCGGAAACGGACAAATTTATTCTATAGCACGCTTCTCGATGCACTTGGTCTCTTGGTGATTTTTGTAATTTGTAAATTGGCGAGAGTCCGACGTAAAAAGATGAGGATAGTCAGTTTCGGGAGGGAGATAAAATAATCCGCCATAGATCTCCCAATTCCACAAAGTACGGAGAGAATTCTGCTCGTACATAAATGATCTAATACATTTTTGCGAGTCAGACCACGACCGTCGTCCTCGTTACGACTATTTGCGACTTAAGAACTCCACTTTGTTCCTTACCAGTTCCGATATTTTGGTAGCAACCGTGGGCGGCTAGCCGTATTTTTACTACGCGAAGTTGGAAAGGGTACTGCGATTGAAGCATCCAGCGACCTTTTTGCCTATTCGGAAAGGAGAAAGAATTTTCTTCATATTTATAGCGACGTAAAGAAACGTGCATCTCACGATGGTATTTGTGCGACACGGCAATGAAATAACTGGCACAGAAAAACACGCGGCTTTAAACCCGCTATTAAAAAATTGCAATCAATTAATCTGCAAATTGAAAAAGCCGGCGCGGTCGCGCCACCGTTTTCCTTATCTCGAGGTTAGCGGGTCATCGTGATCGTAAAAGCCACTCATAGACGTTTTTAACGAGAACACACGTAGTCGGTTGTACACAGGGACATGTGGCATTTATGGCACCGAGGACTTTTACGGGAAATACAGGCGGGGGTGGCCGGTGATAGTGGGGAGAAGGCGTAGCCAACCGAATTTAATTAAATTGTGTTTTGGATTCGATAAGGAAATTACTTCATACGGCGCGGAGGCGCGAAGGTTGCTTGTATTTCGATTAGTAGAGCGTGCAGGTATCTACGATTATACCGAACCATCAATACGTATGCATTGGTGTTATCGCTCGACCGACTATTGAATATTATATCTTCGATTTGTTCATGTATTGTGCGTTTAAAAATTTTGTTACTAAAAATATTAATTTGATAAAGTATATAAACACGGAAAGAATGATTTTGCTGGAAGATAAAAAAAATCTGAAAATAATTTTTGTTAGAGCACCATCAAAATAATTTTGTTTGAAAGTCAAACTGATTGCTAGAATATCAAAATTTTTTACAGC